AGGGCCTTGCATTTAGTTCGGGCTGGCCTTGGACGCAGTCTGTAGCTCAGGCTGACCACAAACGCAAGGAGATCCTCCTGCCTCGGCCTGCTGAGTGCCGGGATTGCGGTCGAGGGCTGCCCCCCAGCAGGGGCTTCTCTGATGAGCTGGTGGAGCACCTTCACTGGTCACTGAATCGCTGTCGGGCACGCGGCGCTGCTGGAGTGAGGCAGCCGCCACAGCAGCCCTCTGTGCGACCAGGTGGCCCTGGGCCGCGTGACCCAGCCCTCCTCCTCGTGTCCCTGCAGGTGGCCAGGCTGCTTCCGAGCCTTCCAGGACGTGGGACGCACCTCCGAGCAGGGGCCCCGCCAAGGGCACGCCCAGCACAGCCAGGCCGGCGCCCACCCCTTCCAGTGGCCCCGGCAGGCGCCCGGGCCACCCCTCTGCGGCTCCCAGGGCTCGTGGGAACACAGGTGAGCAGGCGGCTGTGGCGAGGACCTGGGGAGTTGTGCCTCGGTGGCCGCTCACTCGGAAGACCTGTGCGGGACAAGGGGCGTCCGGTGAGGCTGGAGGGCGTCTTGGGATGTGGCGACAGGAAGCAGATCCTGTGCTTGGCTCCCGGCCGCGGAGGCCGCAGACGCTGTCCGGCGGCCCACAGTGTGCGCGCAGGCTCACCGCACGGCCGAGGTGTACCTGCACCGGGGCAGGCTGCAGAGACCCGCTCCAGACCTTGCCAGGCAGGCCTGCAAGGAAGCAGATGGTAGGACATCCGAGGCCTCCACGGCCAGGGGTGTGCAGGGACCCTCTCCCTCAGTGCTGCCGCCGGCCATCCCTACACGCCAGCAGGCCGAGGCAGGAGGATCGCTAGTTCAAGCCCACCCTGGGCAATGTAATGTTGTAGCAACCGCTCCTCTCAACATAGAAAGTAAAAAAGGTTTTGGGATGTAGATCAGTACAAAGACCCTGAGTTCATTCTGTGGTTCCAAAAATCTGTACCTTGATTTTTGAGATTGCTATTCAATGATCTCTCAATGGTTTTAATTTCTACAATGTAGATGAACAGAATTTTATTCTTTTAAAATTAACAAAAAGATATTCTTTCCTTTATTTAGAAAGTTACTGTTAATCCAGTTATTCATTTAATAACTTATTTCCATTCTTCAAAATAAAAATACAGTACACTTATGAATACAAAAGAAACACTGGTTAGAGATTGCCTTTCTTCTCTCATTGTGAGCCAGGACTCAATGTAATTC